CCACTTCACGGTACTATTCATGATTTCTTAATGGAAAATATTATGATTAGGATTAGGAACTCCTTAAAATTTTTCGAATTAAAATTTTTGTATTAAATTTTTTGTATTAAATTTTTTTTTATATAGCAAGAAGAAAGATATCCCAAATAAGGCCTTAGCCTTCATTTGAGACAACTTTCTTACTATTTTCTAAAACAACTTTTTAATATAAAATTTTTTTATAAAAAAAGTTGTTTTAAAAAATAATAAAAAGGTTGTCCCAAATAAAGATACAAATAAACACCAATTAAAAATAACCTAATTTTAAATAAATAAATAAATAAATAAATAAATAAAATTTGAGCAATGACTATAAATAGAAATCTAGTGGTCAAATATAGACAAATTATTATCATTAAGGTTATTTGTATCGAACATAATATTACCACATAGATATAAGTTAAATGAAAAAAATTACATTGTAAATGATCATAATTAAGCAAAGTTAAGTCGCATTATTAGAAGTAGAAAAATTCAATATTATGAAAACTAGAGGCTTGAACATCTTAATTAGTAAGTAATATACAAATATTATACACTAAGGATTTCATTTGGGACGATTTGTTTATTATTTCTTAAAATAATTTTCTAGTAAAAAATTAAAATTTTTATATTAGCCGTCTCAAATAAAATTTAAAATATACATTAAAAATATAAAGGTATCCAACAAAATAGTTTGATGAGATTCAATAGTCATAGTCCTCCATCTACTCATCACTAAAAATACAAATTATAAGGTGAGTGGTCAACATTCATTAATCACAATCTAAATAAAGTGATGTTAAATCACACAAAATTGTGGTGTAGTCAAACCTACAAAAGCAAATAACACAAAAATGTGATAGCGATAAGTAAAAAATTAAGCTAAGTGTTAGAGTATTAGAACAAGGAATTAATTTAGTATCATGAATCAACATTAATGTTGTTGTGACGCTTCGAGAGAGGTATTTGTTTGAAATTCTAGCAAAACTTTTGAAATAATTGTCCGATCATCTGTTCTTACCTCGTTAATTCGATATTATAAAGTTTTTGAAAGTTGTTATGTTATTATATATACATTTTTTTAAATCACACATTAGCTTTATCACAACCATTACATTCTAGTAGACTCGATTTTTAAAATATAACTTTACACTGCAATAAATTTTGAAAAACAATAAAAAGTAGTCATATGAATGTTTGATAATAGTTTTAAAAATAAAATACAATAATTTCAAATAGATCCTAAGGTTTCATTAGAGACGGCTTTCTTACGACTACTTAAAACAGTTTTTTAAGAAGCAGTAAGAAAGTCATCTAAAAGGAAGACTAAATCATTTATTTGACTACCATTAAACTCTAAAATAATTATTTTTACAAAGCACCAACTTTGTGGGGGCCTTATAATCAAGGGAAATTATTGGGTCAGGTCACCGGACACAGCTTACGTTCGGTATTCACAGTACTAAGCAGTACTGAACTCGGTACTGTGAAGTACTGAGTACCGAGCAATACTGAGCTCGGACTAAGCAATACCGAGCTCGGTACTGCTCAGTACTGAGTAGGAGGTGATGTGGCACATTTTTATTGGGCTCCGAACACATCGGTGACCTGGCCCAATAATTTTCCTATAATAAGAAGCTGTTTTTAAAAGATCTATCTATGTTGCAAAAAAAAATTATGAGATGTGATGGCATTCAAAATAAAATTGACTAAGCCTTTGGTCCCATTACACTTGTCAAATGGTTCTTTTTCTTAAAATAAAGAAACAAAAGGAATCCAGACTCAATAATCAACCCTTTTTACAGTACAAATGTTAGGCATGCCTATGCCAGCTAGTTATGAGTGGGGTTTGTTATTTGTGCTTTTCCTATTGGCCAATATATTACACGTGGGAACATATAACTTTTCGCAGAAGCGAGCCAAAGACACTCTGTGCTTGTGGGAGTCGCACATGTGAGTGGAAGAATATTCTATTTGTTTAGTTGATATATGCCATTCGATTAGCTTGAGATTTTGATAATTATGTCATTTGTCATAATTAAACTTTCTTAATCTCTAAATTTAATTGTATAATTTTTGTTGGATCCAAATTTTTGCATGAAGGATATAGCGAGGGAGCGCACTAGTAACTTGTGAGAATGGAGGGAGAGGGAGAGAGAGGAAATTTATAGATGCTTAAAAAATTACGAGTCTCAATATTGAGTGAGTATTCACAATACACTACAAGAAATTAAGACATTTATATATGGCGACAATTTTAACCTCCACAAAAATTGGTGCAATGATTTTAAAACTGTTGTAAGACTGCTGTAATTGTTGTTCGCTTCAAAGGACTTCTGTAGTGGTTTTGAAACCGTTGCTACCAAGTGTTGCGAAAATAATATATTTTTGGTTGTAATATCAGTTAAAAATTCCAACATAATGTCACAAACTATTCCTCGTCACTTCTTATTTATAGGATTATGAGGGCTACGTAAAAGATTATATAAGAATGACAAACATTATACAATAATTTAGGCACATATTGCCTCTTAGTTGTCTGAAAGAGGGTGAGATTGGAAAGCTTCACTGAGTTGCCTCTAGGCAAGTTAGTATTGCAGAGTATGTCAGAGTGAGTGTGCTCAGGGGAGTTTACTGATGAGCGTTGATATGACAGGAGATTGGTGGCTGCTGAGTTAGTTGAAGATGCTAACAAGTTGTATAAGCTTTGAGTTCTCCTTAGAACATAGGGGTGAGTGAAATGCTGATGTGGGAAGTAAGAGCTCCAGCTCCAATGGTCATGATGAGTCGAATTGAGGGTATCATGAGTAGACACCTTAATATAGTCGAGTTTGGTAAGAACGGTTGCTTTGGGTGAGAGCAAGTGACTGAAATGTTGACCAGGCATGTGGTGAGTGTCAAGAGACTAGCTTTGAGAGGAACCTTCATTTGGCTTTGTTTAGGGTTAGCTCCTTGGAGGGCCTAAAGGGAGTGATGCCTATTGGTCATTTCGGATGAGTTCTCCTGCAAGCTCTAGATAAGTTCCTCAAGTGGGTGGCTCTCTTTGAGGGCCAGTTTTTGTGTCATAATCCGTCAGCTACCTACTAGATACCTATAAAGACATATATGCTAGTATGCAATTTTAACTTTTTTCATCCTACTTACTAAACAAAGAGAAAGGAGGGAGGATACCATGCAAGAAGAGATTTTGTTAAGTTGTAGTTCTGAATACTTATATTAGTTATCATCCTTGTTATTGAATTAAGATTATCAAAGTGGTCAATCTTGATTATGTGTGAGAGAGAATTATTTAAATCATCCTATTACCAATATTACAATTTATGTTAACATATTTTGGCCTTCTGGGGATAAGGATAGGACATTAGGACTAGACCCTCTAACATCAAAGCTACTGGAATATAATAGGATTCATGTAACTTATAATGATCAACTTTGTTGAAAGTTGGTTGTTGGATCTCTTTATTCAATAATTATGACAATTTATCCATCAATTCCGTCTAAGGTTATGATATCGACATCAATCTCAAGATAATCAAAATTTGTTCTAAAATTTTAATTAAATCATATAATCTTTTGTACTAAAAAATTACTTTAGAAAGCAATCTCAAATGAAGCCTTAGTGTCACAATACATAGATATAAATAATCGAGAGATGATGTTGAAATCCCATAGAAGATGACGTAACCGTATACCCCAGTGGAAATAGTAGTTAAAATTCGACATTCATCTTAGGTAGAAAATCTAATCATTTTAGGTTGCTTCTATATATGTTCATGTTCATTATAAAATTACAATCTAGTATTTTAATATGCTGGATAGAACAATAATATAATTTTTTTTTTATAGAATTTTTATAGATTTTGTTTGTAAAATTATTGTCTTTATTGCATATTATCATCGAGCCGCACTTATATTTGATTCTGTTAGTTAGTTTTTTTTTTTTTTGGACATTTGAGTTTTTAAGGCAATACGTAAGCTTCAAATTCAAGACCTTTTAATTAAGGTGAGCTGCGTGGTTCTGTCAGTTGTTGATATCTTTATTTGATTGCTTTGGTGTGTGTAATATTTCAAAGCTAAGCTAATTATGATTTCATTGAAATATTTCGGAAAAAAGAAATTTTCAAACTAACATAATATAATTTATATTATGATATATTTTAATTATAATATTTATTTTTAAATTAAGATTAGATATAAAAAATTTTATATTGTATATTTTAGAATAAATATAATAATTTTTTAAATTTGTCATAATACAAGTATATCAGTGTTTATTCTTGAAATAATTTTTTTTTCATATTTTTAAATTTACAGAAATATAGATTACACCTAATATTTATTTTAAAAAAATGGCTATTCTGGATAGTTGTGTGCATTGTTTTTAAAATTAATTTTTTTAGTACAAAAATTTTTCAACCTATAAATTTTTATACTAAAAATTTATTTTAGAAATCAATAAAAAAGTTGTCTAAATGAAGCTTAAAAAAATAATATAGAAATTTCTGAGAAATTGAAAAAATAGTAAAAAAAAAAAAATCAAAATAAATTTATGACTACCCTCTAAAAAATAGGGCAGCTAAAACACTGTAAAAGATACCCTAATTATTTATTCATAATAAATGAGTAATGAGGACATACGGCCAACAAAATAATAATTTAATAATAATTGACCATAAAAACTTAATATTTATACACATAAACGCTGGAAGCCTCCAACTGGGCTAAGTACACATCACAGGGCTTAAAAAAGGAAAAAATTATATTAATAAGAAAACTTAGGATGGTAAAATAGTCCTAACAAATCACATATTTCCAATTAAAAAATAATTGATAAAAAATTAAAAAATTGATATTCTTATTATATTTAAAAGATGTAAAATTATTTAATATTAAAAATTAATATATAACTAAATATTAAAATATAATATTATATACATAATCAACATAATAAATATTAATTTTTTCTTAAGAATTACTACAATTAAATTAGCTCAAATTATTTAAACTAATTCTTTAAAAAAAAGTCATTAACATTTAACAATATCCCAAATTAAAAAAACAGCAACAAAACAAAACAAGCGCATGCTTAGCACCTTCATTTCATCAAACCACTCGCACTCAAACCTCCGACGTCACCTCCACCACCACCTCCGGCAGTGCGAGCACCACCTTCTCGTCTTCGCTGGCCACATTCGCTCGGCAGAGCGGGCAGCTCGACCGCTTCCTTAGCCACTCATCAACGCACACTGGGTGGAAGCCATGGCTACAGCCCGGCAAAACCTTCTCTTTCTCCCCTTCCATTAACAAACTCAAGCATATCGAGCACACCACCGCCTCTCCCCGCCGTACTCTCACTGGCAACTTCCTCACCGCCGCCTCGTCCATCCCTTGGCAACCACTGCAGCCGCCGGCGGCGGCGGATGGAGAAGCGGCAGGGTAGCAGCATCTGCGGCGGAAGTAGAAGCAGAGGAGGAGGAGGACGATGAGGAAGGAGAAGAGGACGAGGAGGATGACGAGGTCGTGGCCGTGTAACTGGAAGCTCTTGTCGTCGAGTTCGCCGTAGCGCCACCGGAAGGGGCGAGCGTCCTGACTCATTGTTTCTGTAATTGGCTAATGCCTTTCTCTGTAATTACTTCCATTTGCATTTTTTTTTCTCAATTTGGAGAGGGGGAACGGAGTTGGGGTATACTTATTGGACGGGGAAAGTGGTGGGGGAGAGCAAACGTGGCTTTTGAGGTGGTGTTTGGTATGAACGCTTGATGTGGATTATAAGTGCTTTCTATGGGTTTCATGATGGAAAAGGGAAAAAGATGTGAATATAGTATTTTTTTTTCTAGAAATTGCATATGTGATATTAATAATTTATCAATTTATAAAAAAAATAGGGGGATTTACATAGATACCATTTATTTTATGCTATTTATATATCTAGCACATCAAATTTTAATATTACATCTATACCACTCATATTAAATTTTAATATCAAATATATCACTTATATATTTCATTCTTACCACTCATACCACCTTATCAATTTTAATATTTCATTTAATGCTCCCATATTTGTTCTATGGGTTTGGTAGGCATATAATATTAAAATTTTACGTGTTAGCTATGTAAATAGCATAAAATAAAATGATATGTATGTAACTCCCCCGAGTTAATTTTGATGTCTTCTTTTTTCCAATTATTTAGCTTATATTCATATGTATCACGATCAAATATTTCAAAATTTTATAAAAAATGAACAAGGTTAGGATTTTGTTTCAAATTTCAATATTTATATGTGAATTTTGAAATATATATATATGCCATAAGTATTTTGTACACTATTGTCTATTTTTTTATTTTGAGAAAATTTAATAATGAAATATATGAATTCTAGAGAAAATTTAATTAAGAAAAATTGTGTTTAACTCAAATTAAGCATGATTTAATAGTGGTTTAGGCTTTATTTTGGATGATTTTCTTACTGCTTAAATCAAATTTTTAGTAACAAATTTAAAGTTTATACACAAAAAAATTGATTTAAGAAACTTTACAAGTGTTAAGTGATAAGATTAAAGTTTCGTTTGAGATTACTTTCTTATTACTTTTTAAAATTGCTTTTTAATAAAAATCTTTTTCAACTAAGAAATTGTACTAGAATACATCTTAAGAAAGCGATAAAAAATTTGTTTAATTTATAAACATTTTATAAATAAATTTATTTTCTAATTAATAGCATTTGAACAAATCATTCAATAATAAGTCATAAACTAAGAAGTATTTTCATTTTTCCCCCTATTTTTTAAAACCAAACAGGCTCTCATTGAACACATTTCCCCTCATCTTAGAAATAGAATGGCTAACCTTTAAAAATATCACAAGAGATTCACTCACTTAACAAATTCATTGAGAATTATAACAGATCAGATTCATTTCCTTAATTGATTGTTAGCTCTGATATGTCTAGGAAAAAATTTACATGATCGGCATGAAGCTCGATATAATATTTAAATCAAAAACTTTCAAAATTAAATTTAGGATCATCTGAACTTTGATTTCTATAAACTTATAGTCGAACAAAACATCTTGAAAAGATGAATCGAACGATGCAAGAAGTTTTTCAATTCAAGCTAAAGTGAGAACGAATCAAGCACTTGATGCATAATAAAAAAATTAAGATACTTATTGGATAACCAAATGATACCCAAATTTGACCTACCTATAATTGAATTGAGCGTCTCGACGAGAAAGATCCAACGAGCCTAAGATCAGTTAATTCCGATATAGGCGCGCATTAGATCCATTTTTTGATTTCTTTCATCTATTCCAGGTACTTCTATTGATTAAATATTTTATAATTAAGAGAATATGGACCATATAATTCATTGTTCTTAATTCTGATCTAGTTTACTAAAATGCTCATATCAAAAAATCTATAAATAGAGAATCATTCTCTATATAAGAAGTTCCAAGTGTTGAGAGAAGAAAAGAGTTATATTGCATTTTCTAGCTCTCGCTGCCGCAAGTGACCAACACCAGTTCTCTTTGCCGACAATGTCCATTAGCTCTCGTGAAGACTACCGCCAACAAACGTCGCCACTGTCTGCAAACTTTTGCCAAGATTTAATCTTGCTCTTGAGTAATTAATTGTTCATATATGCATAATTGATTTATGTAATCCCTATAATGAAAATCAGACAATTGTTCCCAAAATAGTCATTTCATCAATTTTGAAGAAGGAAAGATTATTGTGTCTCTTGTCATATAACGGAAATTTTAAACATTTCATACTTCGTAGTTTTTTCGCTTTCCATATTTTCCAGGTAATTTTTTTTTTCTATTCTCCTATAATTTATCACTATGCGCCATAAAATTTTGCCCAAAACTAAGATATAAAATATAAATATTTTTAGCAGATAACAAGCTCTAAATTTTTCCTTATAAAAAATAAAGAATTATCTAATAATGGTCTTATCAGCGGAATTTACTTTTAAAACAGCTTTTTTAATGAGAAAAAGACTTATTAAGATGGAATGCAATTCACAATGAAATAGACGAAATCTTTACTTAGAAAAATGAAGCAAGAAGTATCCAGCCTCAATTGTATACTAATCTGCTTTCTTATATTGGAAAATTTTTTTGTTTGATCAAATTTCAATATTTATATGTGAATTTTGAAATAGATATATATGCTATAAGTATTTTGTACACTATTGTCTATTTTTTTATTTTGAGAAAATTTAATTATGAAATATATGAATTGTTGAGAAAATATAAAACTAAGATATAAAATATAAATATTTTTAGCAGATAACAAGCTCTAAATTTTTCCTTATAAAAAATAAAGAATTATCTAATAATGGTCTTATCAGCGGAATTTACTTTTAAAACAGCTTTTTTTATGAGAAAAAGACTTATTAAGATGGAATGCAATTCACAATGAAATAGACGAAATCTTTACTTAGAAAAATGAAGCAAGAAGTATCCAGCCTCAATTGTATACTAATCTGCTTTCTTATATTGGAAAATTTTTTACGTGCTGGGTTCAGATGCGTCACGTCATTCAATACATACTGTTTAGATGATGTGGTGCGTTCAAATTGACCTCCAGACAAATCCAGACTCCGCAATTAATAATCTCTCCTTATATTGCTATATTTGTCTTCTTAATGGCAGATGGACATTAGTAATAATGGATAACTTTAAGTCAAAGAGATTTTGTGTGGTTGTATATATGAGTCGCATAGATTATTATATTCTTGAGAGTGAGAACTTTTTATTTATTTATTTATTCATGTAACATTTTTTTCTAAAACTTAAAAAAAAAAAAAGACTAATTGAGATTAATTGCCACCCCATAGGTTTTCCTTTATAGAAAGCACATAGTAGGCGTTATACATAGATTGCAAATCTAAGTCACGATTTCTCATTTTCCCATTTTTTTTTTTAACAAAACTCATATATTAAGATAAACAAAAACGGTTACAACAGCAATTGAACATAAAATAAAGAGAAAGAAGGCAAAAAACAACCAAAGAGGGCTCAGTGATCGGCCGAAGCTCCCAGCATCCCCGCAGCCTTGCACGGACCATCCAATAAGGTGAAGATAGCGCCCAATTTCCAACCAACTCTAAGAACAACACCAAAGGTTGCCACCAACAAGACGACAAGGACGCGAGCCTCAGACACATCATTGCCCCATAAACCAGCGCACCACCAAACCGACCCAATGAACAGAAAATCAATCCCGAAAAAACACAGGGAAAGAATACAGTACACAGAAAAATTATCATCTTCTCTGGCCCCTCCCACGAAATCTCCCACGAGAGGCAACCGAGATAACAAGTCTATTACGAACCAGAGTAAAATCATTTCCAGGGTCAGATCAACCGCATAAATCCGGAGAAGTCAAACCACAATCCGAAAATTCGGTTTCATATTCAAATTCAGACGAAACATGCAGCCAATCCACATGGTTCCTAATATAAAAACTATAATTAACAACCAAATGATTGATCATAGCATGCATGTCGACCAAGTTTACAGGGGCATCAACAAGAGTATTAGAACACACCGACTTTCCATTCATAGTATCCACCAGCACACACTCAGCATTAATGTCCACAGTCACAGCAGGTATACACGAAGCCTCGACACCCAAAAATGGAACTTCACCTCCAGAAACTTCAATAAGACTCATGTGTGAATCCACAACACCCAAAACAGGTGACGGAGTTGCGGAATCGTCAATCACGGCCACAACAGGGCAACTATCCACAACATTACTAATATTAACACCAATAGAATTAATAAAGGGGGACGAAAAAACCCCAACCTCAGTACCAGCTAAAGAAGCATCCCCAACCCATTTAAGGAAGCCAACAGATTCGGGGACCCCATAGCACCAGGGGAACATAAACCATCATGAACAGGTGAAACCACAGGAACAGACGGAGCAACAACAACACCGACTACAGCTAAACCATCAACAACATGCGAAATCACAGGAACGGACGGAGCACCCGAAGTAACCCCCCCCCCAGAATGAAGAAGGGACAAGATTAGGATGAATTACAACCTGCTTTAGAATGCCCCAAAGAAGAGCAATGGACACAATACTCCGGAAAATCATCAAAAATCACAGATTGAACATAACCTGAACTTTCCAGCCCAACCCAAATTTTATCAGGAAATTGTTTGGACACATCAATTTCAACCGACACTCTCGCAACAGATGGGCGGGAACCAATAGAGGTAGCATTATCAGCTTTTAAAGATTTTCCAAATATCATTCCAAGGCCATGAAGAATTTTCGGAGCATACAGATGAGGCCTAAGAATTGGAAAAGAAATCCAGATGGGAGTAACAGGGGATTCAATTTCCACATCTAGGGTAGGAGACCACTTAATCAGTTTCATATAACAGTTGTTAACGAAGTAAGATCGATGAGAAAAAATCCAACAATAATCCAAATCATTTAAGAGCTTAATCAAGACATTTCGCTGATTAAGAACAGTAATAGAAACATCCCCATTAAGCTTTAGATTAAAGAAAAAATTCCTAATGGCATCCAAAGAGGGCTGTCGGGTAGGAAATTTCCCTACAAGAGCAAATTCAAAAGGGCCGGCAGGGATTTGATTTTCATCTTCGAAATCC